GCCCGCTCTCAGAGAATGGTAAGAGCATAGGAGGGCTCTGGGGCCTGGGCTAATGACTGAGTGGGTACAGAGGGGCTTTGGTGGTCCTGGTCAGGCTGGGAAGCCCAGTCCTTGTTGCTACTGAGTCTCTGTAAGAAATCATCCCTTGTCCCCTACTAGATGCCATGAACAATCCCAACCCCCCACCCTGTTCCACATAATCTCAGACCCAACAGTGGGCTCTGCCAGTGCTGAGTCCTGCCAGTTTTCAGCCTTGGCTCTTGGCAGTCCCATGTGTCATCTGACCTCAGCCTTCTCCAGCCACTTGCCGTGCCCTAGGTAGCCACACTTTCTTTTTCCTTTGGGCTTCTTGGTCCATGCTGGTCCCACTGCCTGGAATGTTTTGCTCTCCTGTGTTCCCCTAACTTCTATCCCCTGTGACTCAGTGTAAGGTTCTCTTCCTGTGAACCATCTCCCCAATAGGAGGCTGATTTAGAGGTGTGCCCATAGCATCCTGGGTGATGCATACGAGGTACATAGTAGGTGCTCAGTAAGTCCTTGCAGGCTGAATCTTAGGGCTTTGCTTTATAGCAGAGGGAGATGGTCCTATATTTTTAGATATGGCTCTGGGCTCCTTAGAAGGTGTCCCAGGCTGATACCAGCGGGGGTGTGGGTGGTGACTTGAAGCTCTTATATTCATGGAAGAACGCATGTCTGCAGGAAGTGGGAGTTGAGGCACCCATGAAGCAGCACCACTCAGGCAGGAGGGGATAGCTCAGGCAGCCCATTATTTTTCCTGGAGACAAAGAGCTGAGGCCGGGTGAGATACTGTGCACTCAATTCCAGCACACTGATGGGCACAAAACAAGTGCTGCTTGCTGAGTTTCTGCCCACGGCTACCAGAAGGGGTACTGGGAGTTGGGAAGGAGGGGAAAGGAACAAGAAGATAGACAGTCCATGCCGAAGAGTTAAAATAAAGGAGAGGGGACCTCATGTCTCCCAGAGTTTCTGCCCTTCCCCCTTTCCTTCTTTTTAAAACAGTCTGAGTAGTCTGAGTTAATCCTGGTGGTGGCATCCTAACCCTT